TTAAAAATATCTATCTCAGACATTCCAATAATATTTAATTTTAAGACATGTAAGAGTAAATCTTCATCAATTGTTTTGAATTTGGAAGAATCGAAAAATATAGAAGGGTTATCATCAATTATATCTTGACAAAGTGAGTATAAATCTTTGGCATTTGGTATTTGATAAGAAATCGAGAGAAGTGTAATCAAGTCATCATTATTCCATTGAGACCTTTTTTCAAATAATTGAGATTTTACGTGATCGAAAAGTTCTTGAAGAAGCAGGACATCAGAAGCAATCAATAATTCAGCTAAAATGGAAATTGTATCATGCTCGCTTAACGAAATGCATCCACTATAAATATACCTGTATATTTACCAGGATGAATTAGAAAAATTCGTAATTGTAAATTCATAATTGTAAATTCGGAATTGTAACTGTTAATAACATTCACAAAACTTTAAATACATACTTGAGTATTAATTCAAAAGTATTAGCTGAAAAGTTCATATCACGTAAATTTAAGAAAAATTTATCATCAATTTTTCGCGCCCATTGTTGAGATAAGGCGACTTTAAAATATTCACATCTACCATAAAGTATAATAGAATGTGCTTGAAAAGTTTTTTTGTTGGCCAATTCATTACCAACCTCAATAATGGTGTCATAAAAGTCGCCTTTATCTAATAAGATTGACAAATTTTGCGAAAGCGTTGTCAAAAAATTAGAGGACATCATTATCAGACTTGTTTGAAACTAGATCCTTTTTGTTAACAAATAATAATAGGAACTCATGCAAAATATAAATATTAGGTTGTTGCGCAGATTGTCCATGTGAATTTCGTTATTCGAATGCATTAACGTACGTACGTAACATTATCGTTATTGTTTTTGACAGCAAATATTTGATAATTATCCAATGGTTACCAAACATGATATTTTTGGTTTTCAAAATAAAATCGTGGTTACTCATTATAAAAAATAGTGTTTACTGCATTTATATTTCGCCACGAAAAAGCATGTGTGAACTAACTGAATTGTTATAAATTCTTAATCCTTTCCTCGAAGTCAATTTTGACCATTGGAAATCAATTTAACATATCGTTATACGTATATCATTTTCGCCTTTATAAAGATGCAATTCAGGACTCTATTAATGTTATTGTTTGTTACAATTATCCTTGCGGGTGATAGCAATGATCACGATGGTTTCGACTATCGTGAGTACTAAGTTTTAATAATTTTTGTTTTTATTATTTTTTTATTATTAATGTATGATAAATTTCTCATGTCAACTTTTCTTTAATATAGTTTCTCCCCACATACTCTTTACACTTCTTTTATAGGCTAATAATGAATTTTGTATATATGGAAATTTATTAAGTCCAAACCGTAAATGAACCGCCTAAAATCTTTTAATAACATTAATTGAACACTTAATGTGTGATTCATTATTACCTTTAATTCAAGTTATAACACCCTTTTTAACATACCATCAATCGAATTGCTATGTATATATTATGTATATATTTTTGATCGGTTGTTATAGTTTTATACGTATTATGTAGGAACATCTCAATTTAAATATTGCCATACGTTGCACGTAGTATGAATTTTATTAAGTGCGTGCACCCCTTATCGTTATTGTTATAATAATAATTATTATTATTATATAATACATATAATAATTTGCTACGTATCTGTTGCACTTTTTATATTTGAATTTGTAATACGGTTTGTTTAAAGAAATTTTAATCTACCAATTAAATTTGATCAATATAAAATTTTTTCTTGTACAATTGATATAAATTATGGTTTCCAATTCTAATACAATACTGTTAACAACTTGCCAAATTTGATAAACAATTAATTTACAGAGTTTTATTTTTGCTATACAGTATAAATATAATCAGTATAATTTATATGATATTCTTCAAATCTAACAGCATAAATTTTTTTTAATAAAATTAAAAGCTAAAATATT